GGAAGGACCCACAGCCCTTCTCTACCCTTAGGCTGGGTTAACGCTCACAACCTGATCTGGAAACTCCTGAAATTTGGAAAGAGCCCTTCTTTTAAAGAAATATCAAGATTTTAGTGCTAATCTCTGATCATCCAAAAGCATTACTTTATGAATACCTTAGTTTTACACGAATTATGTATCTGCTCTGCCAGCACTCTTGAGAAGTGGGTGGCATCACCAGGCCTGCCTGGCTCAGGAAGGAAGCAACCACACCTTGGAAAAGTGAAGAGACTTGCTGGGCATCTTCTAGTTAAAAGGTAGAGCATGAGCTGCCCCCGAGCCTGCCTGACACCGAAGCCTGCATAAACTGCTGTCACCAGGGTAAGTGGGCTGCCTTGCAGAGGGGTGAGACTGTGCACCACACAAGGACCCCTCAGTTAAGGACACGTCTCTTTCATGAGAGGTGCTGTCGATCTGCCGGATGCTTATTAAAACAGCTACCAACAGATGAAAAGAAACGGTCTTGAGAATGTGGTGCCTCTTAAGAATTCCCACTGAAATCTTCTCTGGGCTGGCGCTAGGGCAGAGCCAGCCTTGGGATGCAGGGACGAGCAGCAGCAGCCAGTGCACAGGGTGGGGAAGGGCAGCTGAACCAGTGCTCATGCCTGGGCACCTCTCTTCCTCCCAATGAGGGGCTCTGGGTCCCGATCCAGGCTCAAAAGGGAAGACTGCGAAGCTGTGAGGAACCTCTCACGGCCACTGGCAAACTCAGGTTTGCAGACTGGCATTTCACTTCCTGTGTGTGTGTGTGTGTGTGTGTGTGTGTGTCTGTGTGTGAGAACTTCGATTTTTTTTTTTAATCCTCACCTGAGAATATTTTTTCCATTGTTTTTCAGAGAGTGGAAGGCGGGGGGAGAGAGAGAGAAGCATCGATGTGAGAGAGACATTGACTGGTTGCCTCCCGCACATGCCCCAACTGGGGCAGGGGATCGAGCCTGCAACTGAGGTACATGCCCTTGGCTATAACCGAACCTGGGGCCCTTCAGTCCCCAGGCTGATGCTCTAACTGCTGAGCCAAACCAGCCAGGGTTATGTGTGTACTTTTAAAAGCATCTAACATTTTAGCTGGAAGTAACTGGTGTGGTTAAGAGCACCACTTGTGTATGCAAACCCAGGCTCTGCCCAAGTGGATGTGTGACCTTGGGCAAGTCCCTGGACCTTTCTGTGTCTGTTTCCACATTTGCAAAATGGGAATAATGATGGTTCCTAACCAAGCAGGAGGACTCAGTGACTTGTTACCCCTAAGGCATGAGTAGGACAGTGCCTGGCACATGTGAAATGCCATGTAATTATTAGCTATTAAAGGCCCAAAGTGCTATCTAAATAGGGTGCAAGCCTGAGAAAGTGATTTTTATCCCATTGCCTGTGACCTTCAGAATGAGGACTGTATTACGGCTGCCAAGAGCCCGATGGCCCTGCATCATTGCGGTCTCTGCGACATGGAGGAGGTGGTGAGCTATAGACAGTGTTGCAGCAAATGTGCTAAAGCTCCCAAGAGGCTTATTAGACCAGCCTCGGGGGCCTGCAGGGGGTGGAAAACTGGCCAAAATTCTGACCTTTGAAGCAGAACTCAGGCCCAAGACTGCAGCTGGCAGAGAAAGCGATCCCCTCCTGCTTTTTGCATGCACCCTCCAGCTGTGCCTCTCTCCAGGGCAGGGCCTGCACAGGGGTCTCTCGCTAGGCAAGGCTGCAATGGGGATGCCAAGGAGACAGCAGGCCCACACCCGGAATTTGTCCAGAATAGGGTACCCGCCCACCATGAGCAGGCAAGACAGCCAAACAAGAAAGACAGGTACCTGGTCTTCCTGCTCAGTGGGAAGGAGGATACTCTTCCTCTACTCCACCAGAGAGAGCCCAGAGTTAGTGATTCAGCCAAGAACACACGAACACACACACACACAGAAATAAGACCCAGACCCGAAAAGGAGTATTTGATTTTGTTTACAAAGTGCCTTTACAGTGCCCCAAGAGGAAGGCCAGGAGAGCGCTCCCAGCTGTACAGGATAGACATCTGAGCCCCGAGTATTTCAATATGACGTGTCCCGGGGGCTCCAATTACCCCCATGTGAACACAGATGAAAGGGCTGAACTTCACCTGGCACAGTCCCAGCTCCTCCAAACCAAACCCGCATGCAGTGCGGCCTAACCATACCTTGCAAATCGTGGATGATCCTTTGGAGCTGGCCCTCCGCACTGGTGGAAGCCATGGCGACTGGCTCAGGCTGCCTGTCTTGGCTGTGGCTCTCCTGCCTGGGTCCAGTCAGCAGAAGTCAGACCCCATGGTGGCACCTGCACAGGGGAGGAAGAAGCAGTCACAGACATGATGGTAGAGTAATGCTGCCCTAGGCACAGAGTTGCCCTGGCTGGGCATCTTCCCGCAATGGGAAGGGCTTGACCTTTCTGTGTGAGCCTTGGTCTGTGGGCATCCCCTGGTTGGCTTCTGACACATTTACATTCAGACACAATGACCTGTTTTGCGCCTTAAACAGAAACAAGATCAACCAAATAGTATGGCTACTCTTTGAGTTCCTCCCCTAATCCGCCCTCTTAGACAGTACTGCTTCACTTTTCACCTTTAAAAATGTCTCCCAGTGGCTCCCCCACACCCCCAGAACCAAGGCCAGAACTAGTCCAACCCTTCCCAGTTCACTGGGCTGCTAAGCCTCTGGCGCCGATCACCACCAGACCCCTCTCTCCCCAGATCCTCCCGGAGCTCGCTTTCTCCGAGGGCTGCTCAGTAATCTCTGGCCAGAAGCGGTGGGTGAGGCAGGACACATACCCTCAGGGCTTCTGGACCAAGGAGGGCCTGGCTTGCCTCTCAGGGGAGGTCTGCCGCTCCAGGTGCCCAGAGTCCGGCTCTGCCTGGGTGGGTAGACACCGCTGGGCCTTCACCAGAGGCCTGCGCAGCCCTCAGAACCAGTCAAGGGACACTTCTATTTTAAGCTCGGTTACTGTTCTCTTGAGGCTGGTGAGTCCTGAGTTACCAGCCCTGCTTGGGCAGCTGCTTAAGTGATTTAAGGACACAGTAGTAACTGAACCCAACAGAGATGAGGGGGTATGAGCAGCATTGGAAAGAGGCTGGTACGTGCATTTGGACAGTCCTGTGTCTCTCTTTCAAAACCTCCAATTCTTTCCTTAGTTGTCCCATGCAAAGGTGGAATGTTTGCTGACAGAGAAGTTGACAAGACTAGAGGTGTACACAGTAGCAGCCACCACTAAACGAGGGCCTACTGTGTGCTGGGCCCTGTTAAGTGCTCTATACATGTGATCATTTTAGTTTCCACAATCGCCCCAGCGGGGTAGATAACGTACAAAGGAGAGACTGGCATTCAGAGAAAGTCATGAAACTTGTGTAAGACCACAAGCCAGCAAGGAGTGGAACTATGGTTTGAACAACTCTGGTTAGTCTGATGTCAAACTCTGGATTTAAAGCTGAGCCACTGTCACTACAGCGAATGGCCGACCACTTCCATGGGCTTCTGGGAACCACCCTGAATCCTAGCCTTCTCCCAAATAATGTGCCGCTACCCTGAGTGTTTCTAACACCTGCTGGCCCTCACCTTCCCACCACCATCTTCCCCTATTGCTCCCAGAGTCAAGGCAAGAAGATCCTGGAATAGAAATGATCCCCAACGTCAAGCTCCTCCAAATATTGACACAAGCATTTTAATGCCAGCCAGAGGTGGGAGGGCCTGTCACAGGGCGGATATGCCCAGCCTATTTTTAACTAACAAACTAGGGCATCTATGACTCAGTGAAAACAAGGCGCAAAGAGGCCTTCTCTGGCCTAGGTGGAATGAGGCAGGTGCATACCTATACACACTCCCAATAATTCATGACACAGACCCCAGAGAGTCAGGGATAGAGAGAGAACCAGCCAAAGCCTCCCAGCAAGTGCTGGCACCCTGCCCATCACAGACACCAAACTGAGGGTGGCAGTGGGTTACAAGAAGCCGGCCCACCCAGCCCCAGGTGTCTCTGCAAGTCGCCTGCTGGACACAGAGCCTGAGCAGGGAGCAGCCAGGGCCCTGGGGAGAGCTGGAGCCCAGACTGGGCCAGACTTCTTCAGACACTGGCCCTCAGGGCGAGGCAGAAAGGATCAAGGATAGTCACTCTCAGTGCCCAGCTGTCCTGGCGCCGTGCTCTGTCATGTGCCTACTACGTGTGGGCTGGGGATAGAGGCAGGCAAGGCACAGGCCAGCCCTGGAGGAGCCCAGCTGTCCACCAAGGAGACGGACAGAAAAATATCCAGATATCAGGATATGACAGAAGAAGTCCATGCAGATTTATGGATAAAAAAAATTATGGGTGCTCAGCAGTGAAAAGGAATGAACCACAGATACACACAACAAATGCTTTATGCTGAGCGAAGGAAGCTAGACGGGAAAGGCTACATACTCTCCGATCTATTTGCATATCCTTTCAAGAGCAAAACACTGGGGAGAAACCAGGTCAGTGGCTGCCAGGGCCTGGGGTGAGGGAGGCTTTGACAACAAGAATATGGAGAAATTTTGGGGGGCAATTCTGTTCTATCTTGATTGTGGTGGTGGTGACCAGACTAAATATTTCATGAACATAAGCTGTGGTGGGGCCTGAGGAAGGGAAAGTTCATTCTTTCGGGGAAGGGACAGGGTGGTGGACAATAAGATGGCAACTGTGTTGGGCCAGGCCTGAAAAATGAACAGAAGGCCCTCCAAGAGACACAGCGGAAAGGGTCCTGGAGAGGATCTATACCAGAGTGTCTCTTCTGTGAATGCTGTCAACACAGCCAGCCTTGCAGCTTCTGGGAGGACTAATCTCGGAGGAAGATGATTAATACCCCAGGAGTCCTCAGTGGAAGTCTACTGGGTCTGTGTGTTTACTCAAAGTAGAGGCAAGACTTGCGCACATGGGAGGGGATGGAGCTTGGAAGGATGTGGTAACAACGGACTGAGTTAACTTGGCAGGCTCGGGCCAGACAATGCACGACTATACAACCAGCTGGATTTCCTAGAAACCAGCCCTCTTTGGAGTCTGCACACAGGCACAGACATGCTCCTTCAAGACTTCTTGGCGCTTTGGTGAGGCTGCCCTTGTGTGGGCCCAAGCCCAGGAGGCCTTCTCTGCCTGACCCGGGGACTGTGCTCAGCTGAAGCCAAGTTCCTGGGTCATGGGGTGAGCTGTGACAGCTGCCAACGACAAGCTGCTTTTCCAAATAGCCTGCGTCACCACCAAGGTAATGAGCCCTAAGAAACTGGCTGCTGAGCCTGTAGGTCGCAGTGGCTCCCCCCCAAGGCTGTGGGTCACCACCTCACAAGGTTTCAGGACGTCAGAGCTTCTGTGGAAGACAGGACACGGTCACCATAGAGACGCTTGTTCCATGAACTTGGAAAGGACAAGTCTTAGCATTTTGCTCTCCGTCTTCCTTAGTCTGAAATCATTATTAACCAATGAAAGACACAGAAAGGGACACTGTTTCTCTCTACTCCACGGGCAGTTCCCTGTGTCTCTAGATAACTACCCTGTGGTTGAGGGATGAAGCTTTTTTCTCTTTTACTCATAACACTTCTGACACCAAACGTGTGGATTTTTCCCCACACCAGGAAGCAGTCCTGACACCAACTGGGTGCCCCACAATTCAATTCAATTCTGACACTAACTACTTGGGGGAGCACTGGGTTGTCTTGTCAACAACTGAAAATTATGGTTAAGCTTGGCCAGAATGTCTAAAAACAGCCCATCTTCTGAAAGAGGAAAAGGAACTAAATGCATTTTAAAAAATTTTTATTACCTGGGATTATTGCCTGAATACCTGGTCATGGCCTAGGTATTATTTTAGAGGTAAAGGATCTTCCCCACCTCGAAAATTCCTCCTATACCTACCCAGAAGCTCAAAATGCTTTAAACAATAGACACAGGAGTTTAGTCCCAAATAACGATACAAAGACTGACTCACATAAACTTATTTATACTATGGTGCAAATGACTAATATTCATGTTGCCCAGAAATGGGTTCTGGCAGGAGCAGTATAGCGTCTGAGTTGCCACATAGGAAAGAAGAATCAGAAAGGGAGGAGGGGTCTGGGGCATGAAAGACAACTTTGCCCTGCCTTCAAAACTTGTCAAATTTGCTCAATAACAAGTACTGATAATAACACAGTAAGAACTGGCCCAGAGAGGGGACCGTACCACAGGGCTCCTCCCACTCTCAAATAAAGTGGAACACACCAGCTGTAAATCCCACCCAGACCAAGAAAGGATGTCAACAAGTTCAGATCAGTCAAAGCAGAAAGCCTTTCTGGAAGAGTCTACGGCCTTGGCCTGGTTCGGAGCACCCAACAGCATCTATCCAGTTATATCTATGGAAAGAGGGCACGAGGCCGGTACCTGCAGCTTTGAAGGCCCACGGTTCTGCTGGCTCGGCGCTGAATTGGTTAGCAGGAAGGCAGGCTGCCCTCGCCAGAGCTTCAAGAAGGTACCTAGGAGAATGCTCAGCAGTTTGCCAGAGGCCAGCTCAGAAACAGACATTGCAGCACACGTGAGCCTTGGCTCACGAGGCAACCACACCCCTTAGACCTATAATTAAAAGGCTGACCCACTCTATGCCTGGGTCATCTTTCCCAAGCACTCCTTGCTTGCAATCCTCTCCTTTCCTTAAAGGGAGTGAAGACTTGAGATTCTGTCATCACTTCTTGAACCTTCTCTTGCCCCCTCTCCCTTTCCACCAATGACTTCAGGTTTCTTGGTCACTTGCACTGGAACACATACAAAACTGGTCCCAATTCCTGCCCAATGACCCAGGAGAGCAGGGTGTGGAGGAAACTGTGGATAGGAGGTGTTGCTTCTGGGCCTAGGGAAAGCTGTCTGTTTTTTAAGGAAGGGGGGCAGCTGCTCCCGGAAGGGGCTGCAGTGCCGTTGGAAAGCACCCAGGAGACCACAGTGGCATGTGCATGTGAAAATTGGGGCAGTTTCTGGGACAGCTGCACAAATAAGTGAGTACAAGCTGGTGCATCTACCCCTGCTCCCAAACAGCACAATCCCCACACAGGTGGAAAAACAGCAGTGCTCCCAAATTGTACCCTCAGAGTCAGGCTGGCCAATGTTGAGTTACGGACTGAACCTCTGATAGAATGTGCTGTACCAGTAAACACGGCCTTGAGGAAGGCAGCAGGCAACCCATATGTGCTAACAAACCTCCTACCATCCAAAATGGGTTTGCTGGGCACCACAAAAAGGCAGGCCTGACCCAGGAGCTGGGGCTACAGTTGTGAGCAATGCCAGAGGAGCGCCGACCTTCAAGGAACTCACGC